ACTTCTATACTGAAGGCTTAAGAGGCACTTAAGTGATACATACACCTTGTGCTTCTTTGATTCACAGGAGTTAATTTCATCCTCTGCTTTGTAAACATGTTGAACAGCTTCTAGGTAGGAACAGTTTGAAGTAAGTTGCAAGTGGCTAACAGGTGGAAAAACTTTTTCAGCTTCACTGTCCTCTCCACTTCCTCGCACTTTTCTTCACCCTACTTTCCAGGTGATGCTGTGTTTTATCTTTGTCCTTCCTCCATCAATGTTTCCCTTGCATTAGCCAATTAGAAAGGGTATAAGGCTTTTTGTATGTGTTCCAGTGTGAGGAGATCCCAGCAGGAGCTGATAGATGGCTAAATCATCCTTGAAATGGATTAACTGGCCCCTCAGAATGTGTAAAGAGCCAAATTCTCCCTTTTAATCATTTCCATATCTGTACTTTTGATGCGCATACTATGTCTTTTTTACTACAAAACTAAGGGTTGACCTTCACAATATACAGATGAATTCTGCTTGCTTTGCACAGTGGACCTTAAAATTGTGATTGATGTGCAGCAGTGATTAAGTTCAGCTAGCCGAAATGCTTTAAATGCAATCTTTAGGAAAATAAGGGGAATTGGGTGAAAATGGAAAATATATTCAGAACATTTACATTATTGGATGCAATGTTTGAATTTCCACCGAGCTATGTTTGAACATATGGGCAATGGAAGATCCCCTTTGAAATATATGAAATCAGTCAGGTAGATTTGTATGTTGTTTCAGAAAAAGAAAGAAATTAGACTTGTCTATATATTTATTAGAAATAAGATACAAACTTTTGGCAGTGGAAATAATTTCTGGCTGTATATTGGTTCTTGTATTGTACTCATCACTATTAATACCTGAGTGCATTAAGAAACACAACTAACATCTGTCTTGTGTAGTCCATGCTTTTTTTCTCATTTTTTTCCCTGGGGAGAAATAGTGTATGCACTGTAGTGTTTTATTTTACCATTGGAACAGCTTACCTATGACATGGTGGATTCTCCATCACTTGAAGTCTTTAAATCAAATATTTCTAAAAGACATATTCTAGAGATCATGTGTTTGAAGAAGAAATTATTGTGTGACATTCTATGACCTCATATGTACTGTGTTTTTCAGGCTAGATTCTCAGAATAGTTGTTTCAGGCCATAAAATGTATGACTATTTAACAGGCCTCAAAAGTCGTGATGGCTGAAACAAATGTAAAATGTTTGTTATACATCTGAAATGCCTTTGCACTAAAGCTGAAATGACTAGGGTTGCCAGGTGTCCGGCAGTTGACCCAGACAGTCCGGTATTTTCTCCTCCTGTCTGGTAAAAAAATTCAGAAAATACCAGACACCTAAAATGTCCTGTATTTTCTGATTTTTTTCCTGGCGAGGAGGCAAAAATACCAGACACCTGGCAACCCTAGCCCCCAGGCCCAGCCCCTGGCCTTCCCACCCCGGGCCCCGACACCCCCAGTTCCCCGCCCCCGGAACCTATGCTTTCCTGGTTCCGTAGGGAAGCTAAGTTCTGACTTGAACAAGAACACACAATGGCCACTGGCAAAAAGCCTAAAGACCAAGGGAAAGCAATGCCTTTCCTGGGTGTTAGTACACAACCCCTCCCCTATTCCTATCCTTATTCTAACTCTGCACTCACTCTAAAAGGGGCCATGCTATTTCAATTCTGTTTTATTATTTATTTATTTATTTATTTATTTGCTTAATAAATCTTGAGGTTCTTTTTTTGGTCAACAACTTTGGTCCCCCCCCCCCACCTTTTTTTTCCCTCAACAGACTTTTTCCCCGGTGTTTTGTGTGTGAGGGGATGGAGGGGGGGAGGGTGTTTGGTATTTTTGGTTCAACCATCTGGCAGCCCTAGAAGTGGCATATTTTTCAACTAACAATACCTCCTCTTGGTAGCATGCCATATCTGGAGCTATAAGAACTGTGGGGACTGTGTTGTGGGATTACTACATGTTGAAGGTCTGAAACATTCTCTGCTGTAGCATTCCAAAGTCTTGCCAAATGGAAGCAATGGCAAATGGAGCCACACTGGAGACTGAAGTCAAGAATGATTGTGTGCCAAAGTGGAAATTTTAAGTGAGGCCTGTCCACACGGATAACTTGTTTATTTTGTAGTGGTTTTATTTTCTTGTTGGTGATCTGATCCAATTAAGATCATTGTCATTAACAAAAGCATGTTTTTACAAAGCATGGATTTTGGAAAACATCACATTTTAAATGTTATAAGATTAGGCATCTTAGAAAGTCTGGTGCCTAGATAGCAGGAAGAAGGGTGCCTTACAAATATTATAGATAATTTAGATGGGACATACTTATGATAGCCAAAGGGTTGAGCTTGCATAATATAGCTAAAGAGAGCAAAGAGCTGTTTGGAAACCATAGATCATATAGTTTTCTTGTGCAATTATTATTTAATATTTTTATTGCTTTCTGAGTTATATTCACCCATATGGTAAAGGTCAATTCAAGGCTTACTCCTCACTACAGCCATCAAATTTGGGTGTTACTAAGGCAGAGCCCTGCTCTTGGCTTTCTGCACACAGGTGGATTTCATCTTAACAAATATGATTCCTGGTCAAAACAGTCATAAAAACGGCAGAATATAAACTGGATTGAGAATCTGAAATTGCAAACATTTACATTGCACATGTGATTCTAACACTTCTGACCTAGATCCTAACCCCCAAATGTAGGTGCCTACATCCCATTTTTTTTAAGTTGACTCTGATCCACAAGCCCCCCCCCCACACACCTGCTGCCTACCCTGTAAGAATCTGAAGCCCCTAAATTTTTGCAGAGAAAGTTCTCTCAGTACCTATATTCCTGCCAGTGAGCATGAGTAATGCTGCTTCGCTGTAGGCGTCCAGATGCCTATCTGCTCCCCAAGCTGCAGTGTGATTCACAAACAGGAAGAGAGATTTTCTTCCACCTAACTCATATGTGGGGCCCAATGCAGTTGACATGTGCAGAGGCTAATTTAACACAAAACAGGAGGTGGGAGGAGGAGAAAGGCCTTCTTTATTACTTTTGTCCCAGAGGTTTGAGTCCTCTCTGAGAAGTGGTAAGGATAAGGGGTTTCAACAGGGTTCTGCCATCTTTCAGATGAGTGCCCTAACCACTGGATCACAGAATAACTCTGATTCTTTCTCTGGCTCAAATCCTATTTCATTAAAGTGGCACAACTTCAGTAGAAGAGATTGAGGAACAATCACCTAGGATTGCCAACTTTCCAATTGCACAAAACCAAACACCTCTCTCCCCTCCCTTTCCTGAGGGACTGCCCATGTCCTGCCCCTTCTCTGAGGCCCTATCCCTTCCCTTTCTCACCTTCACTCTCACTGGGTTGGAGCAGAGGATTGGGGTATGGGGGAAGTGAGGGTTCTGTCAGAGTGCAGCTGGGGATAAGGCCCAACTCTGGGGTGGATGGATGGGGTGTGTGGGAGGATGTGAGATGCAGGCTCAGGTTGTGTGGGAGGGAACTCTGGGCTGGGGCAGTGGGTTGGGGTGTGGGAGGGATTCAGGATCCTATAGTGTTTATTGCGGTCCTAGGAAGCTGCCACAAGGTCTCTGGCTCTGAGGCACAGGGATGGTCTATGTGCTGCCTTTGTGCCCGCAGGTACTACCTCTGCAGTTCCCATTGATCATGGTTCCCAGCTAATCGAAGCACAGAGCTGGCACTTGGGGCGGACAATGCATGGAGCCCTCTCATGTCTAGGGGCCACAGGACCTGGAAGACACTTCCAGGAGACATGCAGACCTGCCTTATCCCCAGACTTCCACAATGCCACTGACCAGACTTTTAACAGTCCAGTCGGTGGTGCCAACTGGAGCCGCCAAGAACTGTTTCAACTGGGCAATCCTAACATCAGCATATCCCATAAACCAGCAATTAGGGCACTCACGTGAAATATGGCAAATCTCCTGTTCAATTCCCTTCTGCTCATCAGGCAGAGGGCAGTTTTGAACTGGTGGTCTCCCAGTTCCTCCTCATAATGCCTAAATCCCTTTGTGGATCCTTTCTATTCCTCCAGTCAGATCCATGCTATCTGACCTATGTATCTAGTCTAAATGGCTTATTTCTCACCTATGGAACACACACAACTAGCTACATACAGATGACCTATAGAGCAAGAATTATTTACATAATAATTTCAAGGATTAAATACATTCCAAAAGTTGAAATCTGTTTGTAAAGTTCTAGTCATCAAACCCTTTTAAGGGGAAAATAAAAAGTATATCCCTGTTTTCATGCACTTAATAAACAGTCAATATAGTTCTTGTTTCATTGTCATTTGTTCTAGTTTTATATCTCAATGAAAGATTTTAGCCTTTGTGCCTCTGTTGAATTCTTAATATTGGATGTGATATGTTAACAAGAGAGGCATGTATTTTAAAATTTATCTTGCCTATCTCCCAAGAATGCTTGAAAACATGTAAGAATAGCCATACTGGGTCAGACCAAAGATCAATCTAGTCCTGCATGCTGTTCCTCAGACTGAGAAACATATCATAGGAATTATTAGAATGGAATTACATTGAAAGATGAGGGTCACTTTGAATGGTCATGAAAAATATTGCACATCTAAGCAATACATAATAATCTCCTCATTTCTACTTCTTCTAACATAGAAACGTTGTTTAAACCATTGCCTTCTCTGTTCCTTTAAATCCCAATTGCAACTCCTTATTATTTTCACTCTACATCTGTTTTGTTGTCAATTTTCAAGTACAGCTGTCATATATTATACTAAGATAATAATGATTATACAGAAAAGCAGAAAATAATTACCCACTTAAAAAGAAAATAGACATAGAACATTAACTCAGGTTGTTTGAAGTACATAGGCATATTATTCTATTTCCTGATGTTTACTTTTAGAGATCCTTTTTCTGTTGCATGCTATTTCTTTCATTTCATACATAAAATAACGAAAACTGCAAAGGCATTGTTTTTCTTGTCATTTCAGCTAATGGAGACCTCCACGGCTATCACAAAACACAGATAAGTGAGTTATCAAGACTACACAACTCTTGGAATTTGATCCATCTTTTACCCGAAAATGTGTTGCTTCAGGTAAAGTAGTCAAATCATAATAGCTATTATGCAACCTCCTATTGTAATCAATGGAGAGAGAAAAACACATTGAAGTCAGCTAACTATGAACAGGGATCTCACTTTCCTAATGCTCTCTGCACAGCTCCTCATCTCTTCCCCGTAGAGGGAGGAAGTTTCAGACTCTCTGACCTCACCACCTTTCTCTTGGGAGCTGTAGAAAAGGATTAGGAGGCCTGAAGTTGTAAAAATCCAGGTCATGTAACTAGGGATTTTCTTTCTCCCAATTCTGAGACACATGATACATGATATAAAAGTGTTCTGTTTTAGCTTACTACACTAATGTTAGATCCCCACTCAAAACAGACAGAGGTGTGAAACTGAGTCATTGAACACTGTGCATTTGACTAATGTGTCTTGATTATAGAAAGAACTGACACAGATAACATGTTGACAAGTCACAGTATTTAATAACAGACAGACAATGTGGGTGACGTAATATTTTTTATGGGATCAACTTCTGTTGGTGAGAGACAAAAGCTTACACAGAGCTCTCCTTCCACTCTGTGTAAGAAAATAGCATGTCTCTCTGCAACAGAGGTTGGTTCAATAAAAGATATTACCTCACCCACCTTGAGTCTGTAATATCCTGGGACCAACACAGCTACAAACATGCTGTATTCAATAATGACATGCAGAATAAAGCATTCATCATTTCCCCCTTTCTAAGGCTCTTGGGATTTTGGAAAGAAGGATGATATCCATGATGATGCTGAAGTAATTTCTAGTGCATTAGTATTTAAAAAATAATACTAAACAACACCTATTAGGGACATATATTTTTAAATCAGAACGTTGTGATAATTTTATATTCAAGAGCAGTGTTCTCCTGTAGCCACTCAGGAGAGATTCAAATGCTGCCCAGCTGATTAGCAGGGCACCCACAGCTAGGTTTTGTTTCTACTGGTGGTGCACATTCACACATGCCTCAGTGCACATCACATTTATTCTGCACATAGATGGAAAAGATTAGAGGGAACATTGCTCAAGAGTCCTAAAAAATTGGCCGAAGAAATTGTTGGCCAGCCAATGTTAATTTTTCATATATATCATGAAATATAAAGGAAATTCCAGAAGATTGGAAGAGTTCTAATATTGTATCAATATTAAAAAGGGCAAGCATGATCATCTGCAAAATTATAGGCTATAAACCTGACATTAGCCATGGAAAAATATGGAAATAGCCTGGGAAGAGTTATGGAAATGCTGATATGGGATTCAATAATTAAAGAATCAAAGGATGGAAAATAATCTTATCAAACAACACTGATACAATTTTTTTTAAATGAGATTTCAAGTTTTCTTGATAAAGGTAACTTTGCAGATGTAATAGGCTTCTGTAAGGCATTTGTCTTAGAGCATGACATTCTCATGTAAAAGTTAGTACTATATAATATAAAGAATGCACATTTTAACAATTAGCTAACTGATCTCAAAAAAGAGTAGTGGATGGGAAATCATCATGGGATGAGGGTGCTTCTGGTGGGGTTCCACAGGGACCCGTACTATGTCTGCTGCCGTTCAACATTTTTCTCAATGATCTAGAAGTAAATATAAAATCAATGCTGATTGCATTTGGGAATGACAACAGTTGATAGAATGGTAAATAATAATGAGGACATTGCAGGCATACAGAGAGATCTGGATCTGTGAATGACATCCAGACCATTCATTGTTGTAGTATTTGAGACTGGTCTTCCTCAGCCACATGAGTGTCTATCAGCCACAGAAGAAATTTAACTCTGTACATGGCTAAACTACAAAGAACGCAAGCCAGGCATTATGACCCTAAAACTAACCCTCTATTAGGCTATGTCTACACTGCTGTGCTACTTTGGGATACTGGAGGTATCCCAAAATAGCTATTCTACGTATTTTGAGCATACCCGTTGTTTTGAAATATAATGGGCTCCTTATTCCGATGTTCCTGTAAACGAGGAGTAAGGGACATTTCAGAATAGCGATTTGTTTTTAAATAAGATCTGTGTAGACAGTGCCAAATTTCAAAATAAGCTATTTCAAAATTAACTACACAATTTGTAGAGCTCAAATTGCAGATCTTATTTTGAGCTAACAGTGTGATGCAGACACCCTTAGAACAGGAGATATCCACCTGCTCCTGCACCAATCAGGTGAGAGTTCAGCTATCAGGCGAATTCTTAAAATGATGAAGAAATTATACACCAAGTTGCTGCATTTAGAGCAAAATTCTATCCACTTTTTCTAGCCACATTCTTAGTGGACATGAGAAACAAAGCCCAGTCTGCCTACTAATACTTTCTGAAGGCCCAGCTAATGGCCGTTGTATACCCCAACTGAATGATTAGTTAGCATAAACAAAGTATCTGCACCCCCTCCGCCCCGAAAAAAAGAAGGGTACTCCCAAGGAGTTAGGACATAGTTAAGGAAGGTACTCCCAAGGAGACAAGAAGCTTCTGAGAAGCAGAACTCCTAGGAAAGTGATTGGTGAGCTTACCAAAGTAGGGAGCCTACAGGATGTACACCTGTACACCTGGAGACAGGAAGCTCTCCAGAGAACTCACCTCAGCAGGGAGCTTAGGAGGTGCTCCAAGAAATTTGTGAAGGGTAGGCTGCAGAAAGCAGGCATCCGGGAGGGTCTGGCCTCAGCAAAGGGAACTCCCCATTTGGTAACAGGTAATCCAACCTGCTGGAACTACATACTGCCCTGGGAAGGAGCTGGAGTTAGCAGTTCTCTATGGGTTCCTGAATCCAGAGAAGGATTCTACCTAGGTAGCGGCAAGAAATTTGGGAAGAGACCTGAGCTGAAGCAGTCCTGTGTTAACCAAAATGCACTTAGTGCACTTACATCAGGTCCCCATCTCAGGGGAGTGCCCCCAATGAATAGGGGCAGTAAAAATATATCAGAGCAGTGATACATCCCTGGGCAATGAGTCACAACACTACTCACTCAAGTTTGGCTTGACTGCAATTCCATCATATGGGGTGAGAAAAAAGGTTATTCAGGGATCTGAGTGTGGGCTAGGAGGGGCATTCTGAGCTCTGTGTGGACTGGGGTATGTATAGAATAAGGGAACTTTGCTGTTGAGTTTATAAAATGCTGGAGCGGAGGACAATTTCTAAAGTTCCCAAGGCCTCAGAATTCTTTAATCCAGGTCCAGTGGGGCCGACAGCCACCATGGGCCCTGGGGCAAGGTGTGTGTGTGGAGGGGGGAGGGGGAGAGCTGGCTCCGCATCCCAGAAGGAGCGGGGCCTCAGGCAGAAGGGTTAGGGCCAGGGCAGCCAGCCCACTGCACTACCAGGACCACAGCGCCAACCCCCTACTAGCCCTCAGAGCCCCACAGAATACATGGCACCACAGAATGCACAGCGCCATGCTCTGGCAGTGAACTGAAGGGGCCCAGAACTCTGGCTGCTGTTGCTGCTGCTGTGGCAGTGGTTCAGCCAGCGCCCCAGGATCCCTAGAATTGCCAGGCCCTAGGGGATTTGCCCCTTTGTCTCCCCATCAGCGGCCTGTCCAGGGGGAAAGCTCCTTAATACCTGAAGGTTGGCCTTCTTGGACTTGTTTATAGCATGGGTATGGGGAACTGAAACAGGGCTGACTCTATGGGGTTGTGTACCTTAAGCCTTCCTTCCAGGTTCAGTGTAGATCTGCCCTCAGTCCACTAACAGCTTAGCCCTGCCATATTATCTGTGGGCAGAAGAACCCACATTTCACTTTAGCTGGGTTGTGAGCAGCTGTAAGGATCCACCCATGTGGATCTCTAAGGTGCTACAGGACCATTGTTGTTTTTAAAATTTTGTTAGTTACAGATTAACATGGCTACCTCTCTGAGACTTTCAAAATGGTTATAGTATTACATTCACAACACAACTTTCAATGGCTTTTTAGTCTCAGATATAACTAGAACTAGTACCTATATACATTTTTATATTACCAGATTATTTAATTTACAAAGTACAGCAATGAAGGGAGAACATTAAATCCTTTCTTTTACGAAATTGCAAATATTCCATGGAGTTGCTTCATAGTATCCTACTACAGTTTTCACTTTGTCTATACAGGGCTTTATAGTGTGGCTACTTTACAAAGATACAAGGAATTTAGCGTCTACACTATAGATACAGGCACACATACATTGTCTCATAGATACCGCAAGAGGAAAGTCCAAATCCTGCTTTCACATTAACAAGTACAACTCTCACTGAATTCAGTGTGCTGTGTGCAAGTATCTAAAGTCAATTTGGCTCAATGACTTTAAAGACTTACCAGAAATTATTTCTGATGCAGTAATATTTATAGTATAGATTCTTTAACTATGTAAAGAAATTTCAATGAGGTTCAAGAATAAGGCTCCCTTGGGTCATTAATGGTGCAGGCCAGTGTTTTTCAATTTCAGGCCTGTGGACCCATGTCGTCCACAGACTATGTCCATGAGGGTCTGTAAAAGGTCATTGTTGCCATAGAACAGTGATTTTTCAACTGTGATCTGTGGACAACATGGGGGTCCACAGAGTACATCTAAGATTTCCAAAGGGGTCTGACCTACATTTCAAATTTTTAGAGGTTAACAACAACTCTCTGACTATGGTTATCCAGCCAATTATGCACCCATCTTATTGTGGCCCTATCTAAGTTATATTTGCCTAGTTTATCAATAAGAATATCATGCGAGACCGTATCAAATGCCTTACTAAAGTCTAGGTATATGACATCCACCGCTTCTCCCTTATCCACAAGGCTCGTTATCTTATCAAAGAAAGCTATCAGATTAGTTTGGCATGACTTGTTCTTCACAAACTCAAGATGGCCTGCACTGTGACAGGAAATGCGGCATAATACAGTACTTGAAGTCACTCCCACAGCCTTTTGTACATATAGTTCTGCCATATCTCACAAACATAGCTGGAGGACACCTGAAACATATGGTCCTGATTGTATGTGGGGGCTATTGCATTAATTTAGATGGAATATATATGTA